TTTCTTATATAGGCAGTATTTGATGATCAGATTTGGAAAGCGAAATGGCATCTCAGAGGGCACCAAGGGCCTCACCCAAGCACACCAGCTCCAAGTGCATTTCTTGTTTGGAAGACAGTCTAACGCAAAGGCTCTTTGAAGAGCCACCCATGTTTTCAGTAAAAGACTCGTTCACAGACTCGGTTGGGTCGGTGGTGCTGCTATTTAATGCGACATCAAAGCGGGACCTCCAGCATTTCTCGAGTCTAGCTTCGATTTGATTTGTTATACTTATGTTCCTCCATTTAGTTTAAAGAGTAGTTCATGATGAGTGATTCAAAGCGGTTTTGTATTTTGAAGTTTTAGGGGAAAAAAAAAAAGTACAGGCCTGATTTTTATTGGGATCTGTAAACCCTAGCCCAGTACTCACTTCCCAGGTCCATGAAGCTAGCTGAAAGAGGAAAAAAAAAAAAGAAGAGTTAGAAAGCTTTTAATCATTCTGTTGTCAGACTTTATTATTATTATTACTAAGGTAATTAGCACTAGCTGTCAAGTATGAATTAAGAAATATGCATAACAAGACTTTGAGCTTTCTTTTACAGTTCTGAAACAAATATTATTTTTGGAGAATTAAAATGAGCCTATTCCATTTTGACTTACCCTTCCTGTCTTTTACACAATGTTCTCGCCCCCTTCCAACGTTAGTTGTCCTTTTGCTTGCCCCGGCTCAAGCCACGGTGCTGCTTGTTCACTCCAACAGATGCTTCAGGAGGGGGGGATTAGAGCATGTGCCCCTTCTTTTGGGACTGAAAAAACACAGAATCAAATCCCCCTCAGCTTCTGAATCCCCATTTTCCAGCCTCTTTAAGCATGCACTGCAGGAAATCTACCCCAGAGGGTGGTTTTGGGCTCTGGCTCCTGCTGAGGCTCTCGTGGCTGGTGCCCTGAACGACAAAAATCTCCCTGGAGCAGGGAAATCTTATCTCAAAACCCCTCCGAGCCAGAGGAGGGGCGCACGGGGACGGAGTGGGAGACAGCGAGCCCGGAGCTGCCACCCTTCCCTCTCATTAAGACACGCAGAGTGAGATGCCATGAGTATGGGGAGGGCCCCGGGCCGCTCCGGGGCCCGCAGGCCAACGCGGGCACCCGCTCCGCCTCACACAGCGGGGCC